ATCCAACAAGTGATTGTTTCATTGGTTTCATGTGAATTGTTTGACTCTTTGGCCAATTACTCTCTGGAGAGACTAATGAGTTTTCATTATTATCTCTTTAGCCTTCTGTAAGTATCCTTTCTGTATTCTTTAGTATAGTATAGTATTATTTAATATAGTATCATAAAATAAATTAGCCTTCTGAGAACATGGAGTCAGATTCATCATTCCTTCCTTCATCGGGGCACCCCACAAATACAATAGAATCGTGCCCTTTCCTTGGATAAACTCCTGGGGTCTCGCTGGGGAGACTTTAAAGCTAAAAACGTGCTCTAATGAAAGGCACCGAGAATGAGGGGGCTGTAAAGCGCTTCCCAGCACTTGGAGGAGCTGCCCGGGCTCCAAGCATCGCATCCTCACCAATTAGTGCCTAATGAACAGCACGGCGTTAGCACTGGGGTGGGTTTATCCCTGAAAACCGGGACTGTCCGGAGCTCAGCCGGGGGCGATGCTGGGGCCAGCTCCGGGACCTCCCAGTGTGCCTCCTGATCCACTGCGAGACACAAATTCCCCTGCTGTCCTGCCCTGGGCTCAGTCTGCATCTCCTACTACGTGACCCGAGCAGCTGCTGAGTTTCCCTGCTCCTGGCCGGGCTCTCGGGCATCCCGGTGGGCACAGAGGAGCGGGATGTGGGCACCCAGAGGAGCGGGATGTGGGCACCCAGAGGGAGGAGCGGGATGTGGGCACACAGAGAGGAGCGGGATGTGGGCACAGAGGGGACCGGGATGTCGCTGCTCCTGTGCCTCGGGGGTGCACAGTGTCCCTCTCCTTCTGCTTCCAGCCGCTCCTCCTGCTGGCCCTGGGCTTCCAGCCGCCCCTCCTGCTTGCCGGGGCATCCCTCGGGCGCTGCCTGTGTGCCAGCCCTGAGGACAGCGGGATGCACGCAGGCTCCCAGCCGGGACAGGGATGCGGGACGCGGTGGGGACACAGCCTCATCCCGCTGTCTCCTGGCTCTCTCGGTCTCCTTGCAGAGGTTCCTCAGGGCCATGCTGTCCCTTCGTTGGCGGCTGTTTTATCTCGGTGCTTATCTGCAGATGAAGCCGCAGTTGCTCCGGGCTGAAGCCGGACCGTGCGCTGGGAGCGCTCCGGGAAGGGCCGATGGATGCGGAGCGTGGCTTTGGCTCGGTGTGGGGACACGGGGGACGCTGTGACCCCACAGGATTCCAGAGCCTCTTGCTCTGCGATTTTGGCCTCCCAGGAGCTGACCTTGAAGTGGCAGCAGTTGCTGGTTGTGAAATGGTGACGCTCCTTGGTGACTCGCTGAGCTGTCAGTGAGCTCACGGAGCCGAGTCGCTGGCTGTTCTTAGTGCCATCCACACATTTCATATAAAAATATATCGATGTAGCCTTTAATCTAGACCCAAAGTAGATTATTGAGCATGTTTTACCGATGTGTTTCCCCTTCTGTGCCTCCATAGCAGCCCAAGGCAGCTGGAACATTAATAATGACCATGTGTTGCTCACACACTCCAACCCCAGAGTGCCAGGGTGGAGAGGCAGCCTGGGACCTGTTTCTGCTCTTCTCTGCTCCAGAGACTGGATCTCCTTTCAGTGAAAGCTCTTCTCAAAAGGGAGTCATAGCCCAGTGTCCCCAGTTGGGGTCCAGTAAGGTGGTGAGGGCTGGAGAGACTGTCAGAGTGGGGGGCTGAGGGCAAGGCCGTAGCTGGTGGTTTAATCCACAGAAAATACAAAATTATCCTAACTCACAGCATCCTTGAAGTTTCCTCTCTGTGCTGCTGGCCCCTGGAGCTGTGAAACAACTCAAACCAAAAGTGGTGCTCCTGGGGTAAAAACGTGGAATTACACAGTTCCAATTAAAAGAAGTTTGGCCGGTTTAAAAAAACCTCTTTGGGAAAAGTTGCATCCTTCTTCTGCTGCATTTGTAGGACAAAACTTGCATTTTGGAGTGGTCAGGTGGCTGCTGCTTGATGGAGATCCCTCTGCTTTCCTCATTCTGGAAAACCAGAGGTTAGGGAATGGCAGCAGCTTGGCAAACATGAGTGTCCCTAAGGATCTGAAACTGCCTCAGGTGCTGAGAAAAGGGGATCCTCCTTTCCTGACTGGGTATCCTGGCAGAAAGGCCACAAGCCTTTTCATTTAAATAGACAGAGGACTCTCACATCCTTAATTACATCTATAAACAGAAAATAAAGAATTTCATGGATAAGAGAACACAAAACTGCCATAGATAATCACGTTGCTAGAAGAGGGTTCTTCTATCACATAAAAAACTTGGACGAAAGTGATGGTTGTGCAGCTGAAATTGTTAAATGAGTAATACAAACTCATTCTGTCTCATTCCCAGAGGAGTTGTTTTATCCCTAGATGGAGATACTCTTCACCCTAATTTTGTTTCTACACAAGTTAATATTCTCCTGGGAAAAACATAAAGTCTGTAAAATCAGTGATGAAAAATAATAACCAGCCCACTGCCTTACACACACACAAAGGACCAAGAAAACGCTGAGAACTTGCCCAATGACAATAAAAATCCCAAAATGAAGCTTTGAAGCATCTCAGAAGTAGCTAAAACACACCAGGAAATGATCATTTGGCCTTTGAAATGAACAAACTACCTAAAGCTGCTCCTTTCTGTGGAGCAAAGGGTTCTCAAGTCCATAATCGCATACGCAAATAGAAAATCAGGAACTGTATTGATAAGAGACTTTTTCTTCCTTCCTTTTAACCAGAGAGGTAAAAAAAAAAAATCTCACCTCCAAAATCTTAACTCGCCTTAGAAATAGAGGTTAGGGAGTTGCCACTCTGCCATGAACTCTCCAGTGTGGAGGAAGCAGCTACAACTCCAACTATTCTGTGACTCCAAGACCTGGTTATCTTGAACCATCAGTGTTTGTTTAACTTAATTTAAAGCTTCTTTAAAACCTCAACTGCAAAACATGCCAGGATGAATAACTGTGCTCAACACTTGCGTGGGATGAAGGTTTCCCATCCTCAAGGGATTTGCCCACCTTCATCCTCCTCTTCCTCAAAGCCAGCTGAAGCTGCTCTGCTCTATTCCCAGCCAGGTGTGAGGAATCCTCATTTTCCTCCTCCTGAGGCCCAGGGCAGGCACCAGGTGAGGATCGAGGGTGGTTCCTGCATTTTCCTGTCTCTACCTGAGCCACACGTGCCCCATCCGGCCGTTTTCCACCCTGAGCCTTTCTCTTTCCATCCGGCTGCTTGTCAGACATTCATTCTCACTACTGATGCTTTTCCCTTACTCATTCACAGCACTTTGACAGGAGGAATCCAGGAGTTGCCTTCCAGGCTGAGTTCCTGCCCCTGGGACAGGTTCTACAGTGGCAGGTTTAGAGGAGGCAGGCAGAGATCCCTCCTGAGGAGCCAGCTGTGTTTGATCCCGAGGGGAACTGTCTTTTCCTTCCTTGATGACTTCTTCCCTCCTTTGGCTGAAGGGAGATGTTACTCCCGTTTGGGGCTGGAATTTTCTCTGTCTTGCCAATGACTTTGGTTCTGGTCTTCTCCAGCTGTGACTGGCGGGGGTCGGTCCCCAGCATTTGGGTGTGACCCGAGGCTGACCAAGCCTCGGGGACTTGGGGGGACCCTGTTCCCCCACACGCTTCCCAGTTGCTTGTTGGGAGCCATTCCTGAGGGATGGACCCTACGAGCAGAGCAGTACCACTGTGCGAGGAATCCTTTATTTGGGGATCCGTGGCCGATCACAGACTGCTCTCAGCAAGCCACGGCCACGAGGAGTACGGAGACCACTCGGCGCCCTCGGCGTGCTCCTGGATCACCATCAGCACCCCGATGCCGGCCGCGTGTCCCTGCGCCGCGGCCTGGCCGTGCTGGGCCGCTTTGGGCCCGAGGCGCCCGGGCCGCGCCGCGCTGCCGGAGCAGCGGCAGGCCCGCAGCAGCCTGCGGAACAGGGACAGCCGCTGCCGGCGGCGCGGCGGCTCCGGCTCGCCCGAGGCCGCCCTGGGGGGCAGCGCCGGCGGCTGCGTCTGCGTCTCCCGGTCCATGAACAGCCGCACTTGGGAGACGCGCCGCTCGCGGGCCGGGCTCTCGGTCTGCGCCTCTCGCTCCACGCGTTCGACGCCACCCCAGAGCTCGGGTGCCGCGGGCTCCGTCTGGGTGAACTGGTGGACCACGACCACTTCTGTCTCGATCGGGGCGGGGGTGGAGGGCGTGGAGGGCACTGTCGAGGCGGTGTCCGGCGTGGCCTTGCCCGAGCAGGCCACGCAGCTCCTCAGGCGCCGGCACTGCCCGCGGGCCGCGGCGTTGGCCGGCGGCGGCACGGGGCTGGGCACGGCGGAGCGCTGTCCGCGCCCCGCTTTGGCCGAGCTGGGACGGCTCCTGGAGCTCTGCCGCAGGCGGGAATGCCGTGAGGGCTTGTCCCCACGGGCGGCTGGAGCCGGGCTCTGGGACAGCTGCACCTGGAGGCGAGAGGAGAAAGAGACGCGGGAGGCGTGGGATGGAGTGCTGGCCCAATCCCCGCCTGTCCATTCAGCCCCATCCTTCAGCAGGTGCCTCTTGGACGGCCGAGGGCCGAGCTGGCCCCTCTCCCTGGGCATCTCCATGGCAGCTATCCCGGCGAGCTGCGGCCTCCGGAGCGCGGTGCCCTGCGCTGCGGGAGGGCCCGGCCCGGCATGCTCCTTCCGCAGCCCCGGCAGCCGCAGTGCCGCACGGGCTTGGGGACAGCAGTGTCACAATGGCCCCGTGGCACCGCGGGGCCCCGGCGTCACAGCCGGCCCCTTTGTGGCACAGCCCCGCGCTGTGCCGTCGAGGCTGCAAGGGCAGCTCCCGGGGAGTTTGTCCTGAGGGCAGCGTGTGGGGATCCCGACATCCCCCTTTTGTTTGAGCGTCCCCTCTCCGTTCCTCTCCTTTTCCCAGGAAAAGGGCCGAAATCTCGGCCCGGCTCCGCTCGGCCGTGCCGCCCACGAGGTGGCGCTCTCCGCCCGCCAATAAGGCGCAATTATTATTAATAATTGTTAATTAGTTTCCCCTCCCCACCCCAGCAAGGACTGCCTGGCCCCTTGGCCGCAGGGATGCTTCCAGTCTGAGGATGGGACAGCGCCGAGCCCGGAGGTTTCCAGCCACACGTGAAAGGCTGGAGGCACAGACACGGGGGTGCAAATCACCCTACCACCCCCACATCCGTGAAAGACAGAGACGCTGCTAATTGATTTTTCAACCCTTAATTTAATACTCTATCTACCGATCTATCTTGTCCTCCGGCTCAGATGCTTTGCCCTCTCCTTGCCCTGCCCTAGCAGATCAGGGAGTCTGTCCCTAAAGTCGTGGCACAAGATTCCATGGGTTGGGATGTGGATGCTGAGGGGTTTCTGAGTGCCCAAGGCCTGGCTGTGTGGGCTGAGAAAAACCCCCTCCCCTTTTTTCTGCCTGCAGCAAGGGGCTCCTGAAATCCCTCCTTGGAAACAAGAGTGGTTTGGGAGGGAAATGTGATAGGGGAGCTGATGGTGCCCTTTGCCAGCCGGCATTAAAAATTCATGTGCGTGATGGGCTCTTCCAAATAAGTCCAGGAAGGATGAGTTCCTCCCTCCCTGGACAAGCTGGCAGAGCACTCCGGCTGCCTCCCCGCTCAGGTGGCACCAGGGCCCCGGTGTCTGTGCCTGGGGACAGGCTCTGCTCCCTCGGGCGTGGGATGCAGTTTGGGGTGAGGGACACCGGCTGTCTGGAAAGCTGCGTGTCCCACAGGATGGCGGGGCTGGGCTGGCATGTGCTGGGGGCTGACCTGGAGGGCAGGGAGCCAGGAAACCTGGTGGGAAGGGGTGTGGAGTCCTGCACGGGGAGGGATGCTGGGTGGGATGTGCGGCGCCCCAGCCATGAGGTACGCGGGACAATCTGGGCAGGGAAGGATGGAGGGAGGCGTGCAAGGTGCCCAGGTGCCAAAGTGGGGGTACCCAGTAGGGGAGTGCTGAGGGTAACACAAACTGGAACGTGGGGTGAGGAGAGAGGTGGGATGCTGAGTTCCCGAGGCGGGAGGAATGGGATGCAGAGCTCCCGGGGGGGCCAGGCCGGGATGCTGAGGCGCTGCCGGGGATGCTGAGCCGATGCCGGGGATGCTGAGCTGCCGGGGGCCGGGCCGGGCGGGCCGAGGGGCGGCTCCACGTGGCTCATTAGCGGGAGGCAATTCAATATTTATGAAGTGCTCTTGTTTGAATCCCAAGTCTTCGGCTCCAGTTACAAGGAGCTGCGTCACCCTGCGATCACATGGTAATTGTTGCTATTTCCAGGATCCCAGCCTCGCAGAGTGGCACAAGAGCTCTTTCCCCTTTTCTCGTCCTTTTTCCCCCGCCGCCTTTTCCCTCGTTGGCCGCTGTTTTCGGGGCGGTTTCTGCCGGCCCCTGGGCCGGCTGGGCTGGGCGGGGGGCGATGCCGGGGCCGCTGCCCTGAGCCGGGCGGGCGCAGCCGCTCCCCTGCCCCGGGAGCCGCTCCATGCGAGCGGGACCGGCCCGGCAGCCCCAAAATGACCGAGCTGGAAGGGGACTTCACCAAGCTGCTGCTGCTGAAGGAGGAGCGGATCAAGGAGCTGGAGCGGCGCCTGGGGGAGAAGGACGAGGAGATCCAGGAGCTGCGGCGGCGGCTGCACAAATGCCAGTCCGTGCTGCCGGCCCCCAGCCCGCACATCGGGCCCCGCACCACCCGGGCGCAGGGCATCTCGGCCGAGCCGCAGACCTACCGCTCCTTCCACGACCTCCGCCAGGCTTTCCGCAAGTTCACCAAGGCCGAGAGGTAGGGATGGCACCCCTTTTTTTTCCCCGCTCCCCAGCGGGTTAGCCGGGACGCCGCGTCCCCCCGCCTGGCATCGCCGGCACGGAGCGCGCCCGGGGCGTGGAGCGGCTCGGAGGCGCCGGGAAGGAGCCGTGCGGGGCATCGGACAGCCCGGAGCTCCCTCCCTCCCTGGCTTCGCCGTTCCCTTGCCCGCCGCGGCTCCCGGGGGATGCTCGGCCGGAGCGCGGGGGGGCGGCGGTGCCTCCCCGGCGCTGGGAAAAGTTTGCGGCGGGGCCGGGAAGTTGTTCGGTGGCTGCTCGAGAGCCGCCAGCACCCCCGGCAGCCTCGTTCCGCGGGCAGGTGGTACTCCTCGCCCCGATCCCCCCCATTCTCCCCAAAAACGAGCCCACGCAGCTCCAGCCGTGCTTTGCCTCCCGTTATCCCGGTGGGACTCGCTGGTCATGAAGGGCTTTTCCACATTAATAATTCCGTGTTTCTGTTTCCCCGTGCCGCTGTCAGGCACCCACGAAGAGGTTTTTTTGGGGGAGCATGGGGTCTGCATCACTCAAGCCGGGGTCTCGGGGGTTGTCCTTCTTCCATCCATGTGGGAAAAATGGGGAGCGTGGTGCTGTGCTGGCTGCTGGGGAGGCTGATGTGGTGGAGAAGTTGTGTGTGACCACAGTGTGACCCTGCTTTGGGCAGAAGCTGTGCCTGGTGCTTCTCGAGCAGGGCACGGTCCCGTGTCCCCTGCGAGGAGTGATTTGTTTCGGCAGAGCCATTCCCGAGGGGATCTGTGTGTGGGTGTGAATCCAGAGCTCTCCCCAAATGTGCCCAGACCAAACTCCAGCCCTTTCCTCCTCTCCTGTGCCCTGCCCCTTGTTATTGCTCAAACAGGGAGCACTTGGCTTTGGGCTTTTTTAATTCAGTATTATTCTTTTCCCTGCCTGTGGTGATTTAATAAAGCAAACTGCTGTGCCCAGGGAGCTGACCGTGTCCGTTTGTCCTTCCCTGGGGCAGCACATCCCTGTGCACCAAGGCAGAGGCCAGGTGTTGTGGATGGAGGAGAAACCGCGTCCAACTTTTCCTTTTGCTGTTGATTTTTTTGAGGCACTGATCATCCTGAGCCTCAGGAAGGTGACAGTGACCTGGCACCTGTGGTGAGGGCAGGACCCAGTGTCCCCACCCTGAGTAATCACTTATTGAGAAGTTGTTAAACCTGCTCACGGCTCCAGTGAGGTTTAGTCCTGGCCTGAGGCTTTCCCGTGCTTTTCCCAGTTTGGGCTGGCAGGCCAGCTGCAGGAAAAGCTGTGTCCATGCAATTCAGTGAAGGTCGTTTGGCCCATCCTGCATCATTCCCGTCATCCTCAGATGATGTTTCAGCATGCAGGAAAAACTCCTGGTGGGGCCTGCGGACAGTTCCAGGCTGGAACTCCGTCCCCTGGCATCCCCCATGCCTCAGCCTCGCTCGTGGTAGCCATGACAATGGTAACCAAGCCGGTCTGGGATTGCTTTTGGGTTTTAATTCTTAATTCTTCCTTTAATTCTGCTTAATTCTTCTCCCGTCTCGTTGCTGGGAGAGCGGCGGGCGGCTCCGTGGTGTGCTGAGCACGCTGCACCCACAACCTCCCTTTTCTCCCCGTTTTCCCCCAAATCCCTCCCCGCCACGGGCTAGATGGAGGTGCTTTTTCAAAGGGCAGTGTGTGGGTCCTTGATCCGGCTCCAGGGTGCTGGGCTGGGGTCAGGGAGCACGGGGCTGTGCTACAGAGCTGTGCCAAGGGCATGACGAGCTCTCCCCGCTCCCCATGCTGGCTGGAGGCAGGGATGGCTCTGGTGCCAGCTCCCCTCGGTGTCCCCGGGGCTTTCTCTGCCTCTGGCATCTCAGCACTGCTGACAGCACTTGGCTGATTTATTTATGGGGAGCTCATGCACCTCCAAGAGCCTCCTGCCTGTGCTCCAGTGACAGCAGCAGCTCCCAGCTCTCCATCCCTCGTCCCTGGCAGGCTGAGGATGGGGAACACCTCTTTTCCAAAACCCACAGACAACTTCCAGAGCAGAAAACCCCCAGGGGGATGTTCAGGCCCACCTGTTTTCAGTTGAATGCCAAAAAAAGAAACCTTTTTACCTGGGATCAACCTCCAAGGAGTTCTCCACCCCTAAAGGTGTAGTTATTTACAATATAATTGGATTTGTTTATTATCTGTAACGTACACCGACAAGTAAAACTGTCAAGGAGTTGAAAACAGCGAACTATGGGACAGCAGGAACTCAAACAGGGCTAAATCCCAGCTGAAAGTGGAGAATGGAGTTGGATTAAATATGCTGTGCCTCTTGTAATGCACCCCTGTCACATGCAGCAAGGGCAGAGTTGAAAAGGCTTGCAGAGATCCAAAGAATAGGGATGTGTAAATAGAAAGGTGGTGAAGGATGTGTTATCTTTGGTGTGGAAGTGTGTTTTTATGCTGTTGTTCCTTCTGAAAACATGGAAATATAATTTTTAATGGCAGAAAACATTGTTGTGTAGCTGGCCAGGTGCATAGAGCTATCCATGTATCTATATCCAATCTGTAAATTAGATTTTCTTTCAAACTAGCCGCTTTCTGTGCCTGTCTTCAAAATAATTCTTCCCTCTTGTTCCTTGATCCGTTGCTGCCAGCAGAGATTTGAGTCAAGAGCAGAGCTGCACTTCTTGTAAATGATTCCTTAATTTATTTATGGTCAGTGAGTTTTGATTCACTTTCTCCCACAGCCAGTGAGTGTTTTGGATCACACAAGGCCTCGGGGCTGTCTGATCCAGCACCTGCCAGCCCCTTATGGCAACACAAAGAAGGAAAACCTGTTTGTCCCTGTTTTTCCTGGCAGGATGGGAGCCATCCATGGATAATGCAGCAATCCAGGCACTTTGCTAAAGTGATGCCCAGTTGCTAAGCAAAAGCACTGCAGATGATCAATGATGCAAAAAAGTAAATGCTGAGGTGTGGCAAAGCCAGGACTAAGAGCTGGATCAGCCCTGCCTGTCCCTGCACCCAGAGGTGCTCTGTGTCCTGGGAGCAATCCACCTGAGCCCTGAGCCCATCTCCAGATCATCCTCCCAGGAAATTCCAGCTGCTGCCTGCCTTAATTCTGAGGTGCAATGTCTAATTCCAGCTAAATCCTGCTTGTTTGGGGTGAGAAGCCTCCTTCAAACCAGGGCAGCGTGAAATGACTTTGGGAACTCTGGAATACTTTTGGAACTCTGACTGAATCTTTCCTGAAGCCCTGGCCCTGCAGGCAATTCCACGTCTGGTGTGTGGTTATATCCTCAACTCCCCAAATCCAGCTCAGACAGTGCCATTCCTGGGTATTTCCATGCCTGTTTCAGTCTGACACAGTGCTGTAGGCTCAGCCTCAGCATCATTTAAGACAGATGAGTTTCCTCACTCTGTTCCTGGTAATTTACCCATCCTTCTTGGCTCCCTAACTTTTTCTGCAACTTTTTAATGGATTTTCCCCCTTTTAAACTTTATTTCAGGAATATTTTGCCACAAGATGGCAGTGGGGTCTAACATTTTAGGCGAGGTATTGGGGTGTATTGTGGTTTCAGCCTCCCAGTCCTGGACCAGTCCTCCTGCCTGTGGTTTTCCAGGTAAAATCAGGCATGAATCCTTGTTTCTCCTGCTTCCACCTTCCCTGAGGTGGTGGGAGATACTTTGCTGAGGGCGTGTGTTCACCCAAGGTGTTTAAACTCAGGATTAAAGGCTTTGGGTGGTACTGGGGATGGAGAGTTGGAGTGGACCCTCTTGACTTGATGCTGCAAAAGCATAAAGGGATTGCTCATGATTGGGATAAGCTGATGTTTGCTGATGGCCATGGCAGGATCAGTCCATCTCTGGGGTTTGGGTATTGCTCAGACCAGGACCAGCCATGCCTGGCGTAAAAACTGGGCAGCCTGGGAGGTCTCCAGTCCAAAACTCACCTTCAAAGCTGGACTGGGGCTGTCCCAGGCTGAAGCAGAGATGTCCTGCACAGCCCTGTATCCATCACTATTCCCCCCCGTAACACTTCTGTCTCACATCTCCTCCACCCCTGGAGCTGCTCTGCGGATGGGCTCCAATCCCCTGAGCATGGCAAGGGGGAGCTTCCCCCTCCCTGGAGCCGTGTCCTTCCCCTCTCAGCCCCTTTCTGGGAAGTGAGCTGCGTTAATTTAGCCATGATCTCATCAGCTGCCAGCCACTAAAGCGATATCGATCCTGCGCTCAGCCTGCCCGTGAAAAACAACCCAGCTGCTTCCCCACTACCTGGAACCACCCTCCCTCAGGGCCTGGCCAGCCTGGAAAAGGAGCTTTTGCCTCATTTTTTTTACTGGTGGGAGACCAGTGTGTGACCTGCTGCCTGTGTGTGACACTTCAGCCTTTAAGCTGAGGAAGGGCAGTTTGGGACTGTCCCCGTGCAATGTGTGACACCACTCAGCAGCTGGGTCTGAAGTCGTTCAAGCTTTTGCTGGGCCTGTGGCTGCTGGTTTCTCTCTGTAAGGATCAGCATGGCTTTGCAAAGCTCAGAGGAAGGACAGCAGTGATTTTGCCATTAATTACGACTCTAAAAACGCCTCTCTTCCTCATTTACCCGTCCCCAATCCGGTCCCATCCGCTTCTCATGCACTGCAACAGCAAATTCCTTGGATGCTTCATCCCTGGGTGATCCTCAGCAAAGATCAGAAGGATTTTATTAGCTGGAATTATATTGGCAGAGGAGGAATTAACACTGACCTCATTGCTTGTTGTGTTGGGAGAGCGTGGCTGCTCCAAGGGAGAGAAATACAGAGGGAAGTTTGACAGAGGATTGCTTAAATCTGGGGAGAGCTGGAAAATATTCCAAAATATTCCCAATGAAAGTGGGAGATGGACTCTTTGCTTGGTCCTCTCTGCTCATTTGGATGGAGCAACTTGTGGCATGAAGCAGTGGAGTGAAGATGGGGGGGTACAAAGTGAGTTGTCACTGCAGGCAGAGGTGTGACATCAGCCCCCCGAGAAGCCCAAGGTCAGACA